ATCCGGCATATCAATCCTGCGTTGACGATGTCCGGTTATAATTGAGGCTGACATTTATTTCTGCCCTGTCGATGTTCGATTATAATCCGTTATATACCGCCACGTATAGTCCCGTCCTGCCCGCATTTTTCTGCAATTTTTGAGAGGTTTTTTTCACCTGCAATGTTAATCCAATAACCTTTATTTTTTGTGTGGTTTTTTACCTCTCGCTAGTCATTCTTCTCAACTGACTACTAATTCAGAAACTATGAATTGCATTTTGTAGAGATTCTGCCTACCTCGTCTAGAATTCGCATGTAAATTTTTTGCTTGCTTTGATGGGGCCCGGACGGGTCTTTAATAACAAATATTATTATTATTATTATTCAATTCCGGGGCCATTTTTCAAACCATGTTTGCAATCGTTGAAAATTACCTTGAGGACTCTCTGGTCATTCGGACCCTTAATGACTTGGCAGAACTTAACGCCGTCGGCGAACATTATTTTGCCACAGTCGAGCTCTTGAAGGCAGTCAAGTACAATCTTTTCGGACTTTTGCAAGCACTCGATCATTGCACCTATCTTTACAAACGGTAACTGATCTCATACCCTAGATGTCGTTGTGTTAATCGAATACAGGCAACAGTTAAAGTCCTCGAGAAGATAGTTTAAAACCGAATGCTAGATCATGTTATAAACGCTAACCTCGTTCGCCCCTCTCAACCTGTCTTTTTACCAAAAAAGTCATGTCAGTCCTGCCATCTCACTTTTATAAAATTCGTTTCCAGCAATAATATTAATGGTGATGATGACGATGATGATGTTGATGACGACGTCGATGATGATGATGATGATGATGATGATGATGATGATGATGATGATGATGATGATGATGATGATGATGATGATGATGATGATGATGATGATGATGATGATGATGATGATGAAAACACGGTAGCTGCAGTATACTTCGGCCTAAAATGGCCTTTGACAATGTTCCGCACGAAGGACTACTGAATAGCCTAATAAGTCATGAGATTATGCCCACCTTTTCAAATTTTATCGAACTCTATCTCCAAAACCGATTTCGAGTGGGGCAGATTCGAAACATATTCTCGGAACTACCCCATATTATCAGTGGAGTACTTCAGGGCACTACCCTATGCCCCTTGTATTTTTCATATATATTCACTACCTATCGGCCATTTCAGTCTCAGCTAGGACGTTTTTCTAGGCAGACGACCTAAAACTCCCATATGCATATAACGAGCATGCAGTTGTTAGCATTCGCAGGAAAGTCGAAGTCGATCTAAGGAAACTTGGCGAATGAAGTAGTCAGTGACAAATGCCATTCTCACCTGCAAAATCTTATCTCCTGATTTTTTGGCCCACAAAAACATTCCCCGTAGTTCTCCAAGATAATAAAGTAAAGGAAGTCTAGTCAATAAAAGACTTAGGTCTGAGCTATGCAAATACCCTTGGCCTATTCCCCACGTCCAAGGAATATCGACGAAGACCACTCGCCTGTGCGGATTCATGTGTAAAAATTTCACATTAAGTGCACCAAAAATACAACTGTTCAAAGTGTATGGCTTACCTCTCCTAGATTGCTGCGCAGTTTTCATTGGCATAATGCCCTCAAACGGCCGAAGGAAACTAGGAGGTATTCGGAGACGCTTTACTTGGTCTTTTTTCAAATATGATGGCACCTGAGGTTCATACTTAGAATTATATCATAAATATGGTCTCCGACCCCTCTGTAGCAAAAGACTCCAAAATGGTTAAAACTGCCTATTCAAGGTCAAACATTACCAAAATATTCTCAAAAGGAATTTGCTAATAAACTAAAATGCCCCCCGAAACGCCAGAAACAACAAATATGTTATAAGGATTCCCGAATTCAAAAGGTCCCAAGAAGCAAATTTCCACCCCATAAGATATGCAAATATCTGCAATGCTCTCCCCCCCCCCAAGTTCTTTCCCGAAAAGTAAAACCTTTATCGAATTTAAAGTTAAAACAGAGGAATTCCTTTTAAATAATGATACACACTTATTTTTGAGTAAGATAGGAAATTTGTCAAATCAATTCTTTAATATAGAATTTGGTCCAAAAAGCTTCTGATGTATCCAGCTACTGCAAAAGCACTGGAAGATAAATATAAAAAACAACTAAATTTAAGATAACTAGCATCAATAATTAACATGGAATAAATAGAAATATCCTTTCTTCTTCCACTTTCTCATTTCCATCAGCTAAGGCACCGGACGCATGTTATTCCCTAAGCAACTAATATTAGCATACCTTTCAACAAAGCCCCACATATTAGATCTGCGCAGGGATATATATATAGGGCTATATGTACAAATATACAAAATCCTAGTAAACAGTCGACAAATATTCCTATGATGCCATATTATCAGGAACAGTTAGATGCCTGATTCAATATTATTTTGATATCTTTGATTGTGACTTACCACTGAATGTTGTATTTCCATCTTCTCCAGCTGCTGGCCCAGACAACTTTGGTAAGCCTTCTAGGAAACACGAACGAACGATACCCTAGCGAGCGAACTGACTAGGCAGCTTACCAAATAGAAGGTCTCTTAGCGAGAAAGGTTTATTTGGTACGGAATGTTGAGAGGTAGCGAAACACAAACGTACTCAAACGGAGAAAAATAACGCACGAACGGGCAGTTCGGAAGAAGCCAACCGCGCACGCTTCGAGGAATACCGGAAGTACCCGTTGACTAATCAGGCCTCTTCCTACGTAGCATAGTCGGGGATCTGTTCATCCGTTTCTACAACAAGCTTATATCAGATCAAAGGAAATAACCAAGGCAAGGTAATGAGTAATAATGAATTTCCATCATACTACAACCAACTCTTAGCAAATGTCCAAACAGGCTGACGACCAGCAACTAACAGGCACCCAAGTTTATTCAACTCGAACACAATTTCAATGCCAGGCCGATGTCAAAGTTCTTTAGGTTCCACGAAGGACGATTTATTCATGACCCCAAATCCTACAAAAACTCCACACTTCAATCTCTATATTGTATATAGTGTACTTTTTTCTAACTTTGCTATTATTTTGCCTTGGAACTCTGTTTTTTAACATACAGCAAACTCTGAATTCGCGCTCTGTTGATCAAGCAGAGTCCAGAACCAATAAAATCAACGTACAGTCGAAGTGGATGAGTTTGGTTTAGATTTTTCTTCTGTGTTCAAAGGATGCGGACAACGTCCAATCGGTGCTACAATAAACCTTTTTTTCTACACCCAAATGACTCGTGGGACATGAACATTCGAAAACAGGCAGAGATCCTCACTGCTGTGGAGTATACCTATCCAATTGGCCGCCTATCACTAAGCAGTTCTACTATCGTATGTTTAAGACTGCCCACGAACAAAGCTAATTCATCCGTCGAACACCCATGCTGTAGTCACGTGCATCCGAAAATGGGGTCCTTACGGTTGAACGATAGTGACTCGATTAAACTTTTATTATCCTCATCCTTCCCAGACAACTTTTTCTATGTCATTGAGAAAAGGCCACCAGGAATTTAGCATGCCGCCATTAAATTTCCGTATCTGTTAACATTTCCTTCCTTTTTGAGTAGTCTCGCTTCCTAAGATCCCTCACCAGAAATGTTAATTTTTCCAATTTTTCAGTTCATGCATCGGTCCCTCACAGAATGCGCACAATCGATGCTCTTGGCGAAACCTCCTGTATTCGCCATATACTAGTAGTCTGGTCGCATCTCTCTTGCCCCATCCTCGGTTGGACTCGGTTGAATGTAACCGACCGCATCTGGATTCTTATCAGCTCAAGACTGGTTTTCAATTTCGCCACTTATTTGTCTTATTCAAGGCCACATACAGGCCAGTCCTGACCGACCCGCCTACTTACCCCTTTATGAAATTCGTTATACAATGCCATATACAGCTGAAATTTATTTCGGCCCTGTTGATGTCCGACTATATTCCATTCTATACCGCCAAATGCAGGCCAGTCCTGCCCGCATTTTTCTGATTCTATTTTTTGAGGGTTTTTTTCTCCTGTAAAATTAATCCAATCATTTTTAAATTTTCAAATGGAGTTTTTTTTCTTACCCCCCATTTTTCATTTTGCTTAACGGACTTCTAATCTCAAGAACTATGCATTGCACTTTGTACAGATTTTGCCCACCTCGTCTAAAACTCGCATGTAAATTTATTTTTGCTTGCTTTGATGGGACCCAGACGGGTCTTTAATAAAAATAACTAAATTAAATTAAATTAATTAAATCAAAGTAAATGTCGTTCACAAACTTTCAGGCAAAAGCTGGATTACGTTGCTGAACAGTACATGTTCAACCACATTGACATGCTTCAAGTGAAGGCAACCTGAAGGCAGCGCAGGCCACGCGCATCTTTTCAAAGGACCGAAAGTCTTTCCCGGATTCGCCTCTTTGTGCCGAAGTGACGTGCGATGACTTATTTGCTCAGCTGTCTTCTGAAGACGACGTTATACAGGGAACAGTACATTAATAGTTACGTGTAAATGGTGATGGCGTTTTATAGGTGAAGGCGTTGGCTGTTGTCGAAAGGCGAAACACGAAAATAGAAGGATTTTTCAAAAATCTCCTGACTGCTTTGCGTGGGCTACCACTATGTCTTTGTTTCGGCCGGCGCGGATTTACCAGCAAGCGGTCGTTCGTTAACCGCCCCCCCCCCCTGAATGCCGTTATCGCTGGTATGTCTACTTTTTTAACACGTAAAGATAGTATCCGGTAGAACAGCGGCTTTGTTAATTTTCCTGTAGAGACAGTTCAAAAAACGGTCAACAAATGGTTCCATGGAGCCAGAGACAGGTATAGAGGCAGATCTAAAGAACGGCAGACAGCAAAAGCTGACGCATAATTGTTTTGATTTACTCCAGAAATTTAACTGCCACGCTGATCCACTGACGCCATGGGCTGCCCGGCGTTCACACCTTCAAAGGGCATGACAATTTAGCGTACATTAGTTTCCTTGTCGCCTACTTCATCCGTTAGCATTTAATTGCAACAGTTATATTATCTCATTTATTAATTCATGCATAATGCTTTAGTAGTGGCTTAAGGTGTCGTGTTGCACTCAAACTACGATTAACCTATGCATTAATAACCCAGATCATCACTGTGTTGCAAGAAACTAACCAACCGTTTCATTTGCTTCCAAGAGCCGACCGTCAAATTACGAAGTGCACCAACGCGTCTTTAGTGTGCACAGACTGCGTCGTACGCCCTTAGCTATCATGAACATTCGCCGTCTGTACCTATCTCCATCCATGTTGTCGATGTTCATCATTCCGCCAATAAAACGGTTTTCAGATACTAACTACCAACCGCTTTCTGTTGGGCAGTGCTCGAAATAAATCGGCGTTAAACTCCTAACCACGCACTTGGGGGGTCGCTTTAATACACTTCGGAATTGCCCTCTTATCCATGGCTTGCTGGCACATCAAGTTCGGCAGCATATTCAGTGGTGAAAACAGGCAAAAAACGAGCAGAAATATAAGGCTCTTGGCGCACTTTTTCAGTACGGGGGTCATGAGAGGACAAACAAAATGTGGTCCACCCACCAGAGATATTATCAAAACCAACCAATGAGAACTCAACAGGTATTTAGCCCCCCTCTTATTCACTGAGAGTCATTGTCTATGGAACTAAAGTCACCTTCTACCCCTCCCATCTACTTTGTCCTCGAGGGTCATTTTCCTGTTCTTCCTGTAACCGATCTGTTCCAGAATGTCGTTGTTCTAAATCTTTATTGATCATTTCTATAAATGGTCAAGTTTAATATCTATGGAGATCATAAAAGAGAAGCAAGACAGCAGTCATGAGTTCTGATTCCTCGTTAAATAGTTAGCCCTTACATGGAGGACTGAATGGCAGTATAGTTCATGGACATGGACATCTGACAAAAGCGCGCTAGAATATACATTTTAGGCAAGATATGAGATTGAGATCAAGCTATGCGTAACTAAATCACGAAAAATATGGGAAACGGAGATATTTTGAAATCTTGATTCATGTTTTAATACGCCTAAGTACTGGCGGGAGAGGGAACGGTTTAATTTCGGACCGTTATAGCGACACGCATCTCAGACGTTCCCGTTAAGATGATTTTACTCCAGTCTTTTTTCATTCAACCAGTAGTCCCCTCAGCCAATCGAATAGATTCACATTTTAAATACTGCGATTATTTGGGGCATATTTCTTTTATATGAAACGCCCAGCACGTCTCAAGTTTTCATGGGCTTTTGGAAGCCCTCTCTGTCATTTAGGTCGGCAATGACTGCAATTGCAGTCATTTCTGCGAACTGAGCTTCCGGATGACGTTCGAGTGTTAAGGCAATGTTTTTTCTGATAAAATCGCAACTTGGGGCTAAAAGTGTTCCCTATGATCGGTCAGATAGTCATTTACAACCACTCCTCCCTGACGGACTGTGGCCCCTAAATGAGATGTTCCCTAACGCTAACGCTGAACTGTAGTCTATAGCCAGCAAAGAACCGTTGTAATTTATTGCAAACGCCTGATTGCATACCGGACTAAATCTCAAAGTCTGTTTTATCCAACCAAATGATTTTCCTGGACTTTTCGTCACTGACTGTTTTTATACCTTTATGTAAATAGCTAACATTATTTAATTATCTCGCGCGTGCAATCTGTTGTCATTGGCAGAAGAAGCATTTGGCGGAGACATTCTAACGTGGTCTAAATGCGGCTAGGTCCTGTGTATTCCGGTCTGGTTAAACATCAACTCATGCTACACCCATACTTTCATGGATACCAGCTTGGTCAGCTTTTTGTCTATTCGGAGGTTAGACCTTTTTTCCGTATACCTGCGTAGAATACTACGCGATGCGGCGCTGATTAGAATAAGGTTAGGAGATATGCTTTGAACGACTTTGCGCTCGGACTGACGGAGTGGGTAACTGGACAAGTTGAAGTAACGACCCACCGTGGAACCGCATCTAGGGACTTCTCTGGTGAACTTTGCAATTCTTCCCTCAAAACCTTGTCCATCTGACAGTTACCAAACATTTCAAGCTATCACGTATAAGCAATACACAGAAATCATGTGTTGCAGTTGTAGAGAAGAACGGTTTTTCATGCCCCCATACATTCGAATCCATGTCTTCTGTTGGATCTTGTGATCAAAGCACAGAACATTTTCAATTTCTCCCTGATGTTATCCTCAGCCCCTCAGAAAAATCGCGATGATGTGGACTGCCGACAGCCTCGTGCTTGTCATTCAGGAAAAGGATTGACTCCTTTAGTAGGAAGCCACATGCAGTATTTTTTCAACGTGGTGTCCTTTTGCAAACGGCGAGTTTGCACTCAAGGATAGTTTAGGTTCCCTCAAAAGTTTCGAAATATAAAAGTAGCGGCAGTATATTTCCAGTCAGAAACAAGGCTTTTCCTCATTTTTAAGGCCAGAGGAAGACTCGTGAGAGGGCCTGGTCCTACCGGACACCAGAGCTAACGGTGATATTTCCGTTTTTCTTGCCATGCCCTGACTTACGTTAGAAGCAACCATAGGCACTTGTCTTGGTCAGAAGCTTGAGGGGAATGCGGTTAGTTTTCAGAACCTTTTGAGCATCGCTTTTTCAGTTAATTCCAATTTTATTATAATATCAGTTACGTTGAGACCTAAGTCATAATAATCCGTTGTAGGATAGCCGGTGTATTTGACTACGCGGTAGACAGGGGTGGGTTAGTTCTTCCTTCAAATTGTGATGCAATTACAAGTTTGAATTATGTTTATCCAAACTACACCTCTCCCTCACTGTATTCCCATCAAACGTCCGTTTCTACAGCATCAGGTTAGGGCTTGCCGGAACGACTGTACTGACACATTTACTAAAAATATGGTTAACTTTTTTATCAGCTTCCTATTATCTGTAGCCGTACTGATCATTGGTCACTGGGGTTCGCATTGCTTTTCACTAAGTCATTTTTGGGTATTGGCGTTCATTATTCGGATTCTTAAAATGTGCATGATTTCTATACTGTCTAAACAACCAAGGTCGCTGTTGACATTTTATGTTGATAAGTATCAGACGCCCTCCTGCCAATCAAATCCGTCATTTTCCTTCGTGGAATCTTTATCAGTCCTAAACATATACGCTCCCTGCTTGCACTCCATGCCTCTTTTCTCATTTTATTTAGAAAAAGTGACCCGCGCTGCCTGCAGCGTTTTCTTCTATGAGCTTGTCTGTTGCAGATACGCAACGGCTGCGGAAGGAGGATGTGGTGGTCGGTGGTTTCACAGTTGTGCGCGATAAACTGAGGTACACGAAACCCCAGGTTCGATCCACTTCTGGCCGCTACTCTTCTCATTTAGGTTAAAGAGGTTCTACCGCACTGGATCACTTCGCCTGTCACCTGTTCGAGTGACCTCACAAAGAGTATCCGAGTGAAGAAGTTTGCGCTGTTGGACGATTTTTTAATCAGAAATTTGCGATCAATGGGCATTAAACGCCTTTTTCCTGGTAATCCTCCATTTAACGTACGAATATTCCAGTTCAGAGCACTGTGATCCCGCACATCCTTGACTTCTATGCTGGAAGGTGTCCCCTTTCCTTTGGACAGCCTCGCGACATTTGTATATCTGCGCCGACGGGGAGCGGGAAAACTTTGGCGTATGCACTGCCTATCGTTCAGGTATGCGCTTGCCAAGCAATTGTTACTTCAAAGCTCCTGAATTCGTGTAGCGTCCACGTGATTCGTGCTGTTGTTATTCTGCCGGTTCGAGATTTGGCAAAACAGGCCGAGGAGACTTTCAAGCGTCTGGTGGCTAAGACAAATTTACGAGTAACTTGTTATGCTTTTTACGCGGCCATCTCCTATTGATAGGTCGTATTGCTCGCCGGTGAAGGCAGCTTTGTGAGTGAGCAGCAGGAAATTCACTTAAAGTAACTGGCCCTAAACCAATTTCTCTACTACACTCCTTTCAGTGCCGAGGGCCAAATTTCGCCCCCTGACATAGTTGTCTGTACTCCAGGACGTTTGGTTGATCATGTCTACAATACTCCGGGATTCTGCCTGGAACACGTGAGATTTTTGGTAAGTATGTGTTTTATGATTATGTCATCTCCCCCGTAAAGAATTCCTCTCTTGCCTCCAAAGCATTGGCTCTAGTTACTATCGCACCTGCTGCTTAAGGAAGGGAAGTGCAGTTGAAGCAGGTGAGGCGGTGTTGTAAAGCCGGGAGAATAGTTGCTAGTGGGGGTTAAAAGATGTAACAAGAAATGGAGGACGTAATTACTGGTCTCCATGTCCTACGAGTAATTGGACACTTTTAGGGCCTGAATATTCTAGTATGCATGGCTTCATTAATGTTGCGTAATTGTTAAGATACTGTTTAGCCGAAATCGAAATCTGGTAGAAAAGATTTTGGCTTGAGTTCCCGTCCTTATCCTCGGTTCCAGAAAGTGCTACGTGTGCAAGATTAGCTTTGGTCATTCTTAAATCTCTTCGTCGAATATTACCCCATTTTATAGTCTTATGGGTCACTGTAGCCATCCGTGTTTTCGATATGTATTATGGAAGCCTATAAGATGTCCTTACACTAACCTATTTCCGATCGGACCATCTAAATAAAAACAAGCTTAATGGAAACCCAGGAAACGCCGCACATAACCACTTTCCTGCATAAACTAGGCAGGGCTCTCGGAGTCCTCGTAACAGGCGCCATGTCGTGGTTCTGAACACCCGTCCTGTTTCCAAGTTTCGCGTCTGATACTTTTTTGTTCATGATTTTATCTTTTTCTTTGCCTCAAATGCAATTGGGGCACTTCTATATCTGTCATTTGCACTTTTTCCGGATATCCTGTTCGATCCACCTTATTTATATATCAAGCGCGATGCTGGTAGCCGTTTCTCTCGTATTTCGTTTTTTACCGCATTGCAGATCATTGATGAGGCGGATCGGGTTATTTCTGAAGAAAAGCAAGACTGGTACAATGTGTTTGAGGGGGCGTTGTATGGCGTGATGCATTTGAATTCTTCGAAGAATTTGGCCCTTCGCGATCAAGTACGCTCCTACCCCTTACCTACAATCGACTCTCAGTGCTCGACGTCAAGGTGTACTCTACAGAAGGTAAGTGCAAAGTTGAAATCATGACGAGAGAAATGGGCCATTGGCCGTTCTCCACCAAACACGCTAAGAGGCCTTGAACAGGTTAACATGCACGAACGATTCGGTCTACCAAAAGATGTGAGGCCACTCGCTCTTCACGACTGGCTGCTAATAGCTGTCCTGAATTGCTTTAACCCATGTACACCCGAGTATTATCTTACATTCGCACTGACTGTGCGCGGCTAAAAGGTAGCCTGATGATGGTGCTCATTAGGCCTTCCTGGCCCATAAGCCAGGAAGTATCCTGTATACAATGAAAGCGTCAGCTTTAAAGTTATTGGCCGAAATATTTGAATTTACTCAGAAATAAGGAAAGTCAAGTAGACGATGTTGCGTTAATAATTTCCTCGGACACAGTCTCATAAGACTCTATATTTCATGGGCTTTTGGCTTTCCATCAGGAACGTTTCTGACCGCTGACTACTGTCCTGTTCACGAAGTTGTCGTCAATTGGGTGTACTTTTTTTCTTTTTTCCACAGTTTGTGCTTATGCTAGCATGTAACATAATTTCAAGTATTCTTTGTCGAGAAGACACTAGTTGCTACAGAAGTGTCCGAAGCAGTAAAGTTTGCCAGTTTGATCCACAAACGGTAAGGGGCTTTATATAAACTCTATAAAAGCAACGGAGGAAAATCATAACAGTTTTTTAACAGTGGTCCCGCATATGGCACGACGGGTCCGTTCGGACAGCCAATTTTTTTCTCTTTGGATTATTTTAAACCTATATTCCGTCTATACAATCATTAAATGCCCACTCAATTGTTTTATTCGTTTAAGAAAAAGGTCATGCCGATATTTTGTAAATCTACCAAAAACAGCGTAGATACGAATGTGCAAAAGGTGGAAGGTAGTAGAGTGAAGAGGTTGAAGCGGCTTTTGCATTATATGTTGTCTTTCCCCTCTTCATGTATGCCTATTTTTGTCCATTTTGATGCATTTTTAGCTCTCCCTTACCCTTGCATAGCCCGTGAGGTACCAGCCTGAGCCACAGGGTTTGCAAGCTAACCACGCAGCAGCCGAACCGTACCCTGCTCAATAGTCCTAAAATCCTCTTTACTCATTTACTTTCAGATCCTTCTCTCAGCAACGCTCACTCACGACCCTGGCCCCTTAAAACGGTTTCGGCTCAACTTTCCTCGCCTATTTCTGGCGACTTCACTTTCTGAGGACGACAGTTCGCATTCAATCAGTGTGGTTCCTTCGGGAGACGAGCCGTCAAACATGACAATAGAGGAAGCTGGAGGAGAGACCAAAGATGCGCTGCGTTTCGATGCCCACCCTGTTCCAGGCTGTAGAAACAAAGGGCCTCCCATCGCTGATGGCGGCGCCAGCACCGGTGGTGTTGGTGTCTTCTCCATTCCCAGTGGCCTGAAGGTGAGGACTTGTAATACGTTTATAGTTTGTAAAGATTTGAGAACCCCGCCTTTTACACACCGGCTGCGGCACATGCCAAAGTTTGTCTCAAAGTCCGCATAACCGCCAATACCCCATTACTGTCGCTCTCCTGAGGCATGTAATGTAGGCGTTCCAGTAGGCTCAGACATACTTAAGGTTGCTCGCTCCGCGTCTCGTCTAAAATTTGAACAAGGATCGCTGCCATCAGCTGAGTACCAAACATATGTTCATGGCGGCCCAAATTGTCATTCTTTCCGTTTCCCAGGGTTGAACTAGCCGACTGGAGAGTAATGGTGAATTAAAACTTTGAGTTTCTTGTTTACCTATGTTCCTGCTGGTCTCAATCACTGCCAACCTTGTCTTCTAACATTTCGCGAATGCGACTCAACCGCTCTTTGAGGTTTCGCGATAAGTTTGAACAAATGTCCAGCGTATCCTGTTGTATTTGTCCGAGCTGTTTTTCAGGGGATCTGGAAAGCGGTCCTGACTACCCTTTCATCTGTAGTATAATCAAATATATAATATATTTAGGGGTAATAGGCGATACCCCTGATGATCCCGTTGGAAACGGTACATACAATGTTAGTGTCAAGTAACCATGTTACTAGAGTGCTGCCAGTAATATATTCATTTACACAAAATGTTTTGGCAATGTGGAAGTTTAACGTGAAGACTAGCAGTTTTTTTGAAAGGTATGGGCCGGGTGACAGATAATCCTTTCCATATACATTTGAGATTATGAGCGCAACTATGCACAATCCGCACAGAATGCCGATTGTCCATAACAGGTCACACCTCCTTTCTCTATAGGATATGGGGAACAAATTAAGCTGGATCAGTCTTTCTGGATGTGACTGAGTCCTAAGACCGTCCACCAGTTTTGTCGCCCGTCCTTGCACCTTCTCGATGGCACCACAGTCTTTCTTCATCTAAAGCATCCATGCTGGCATTCTGTATTCCAAATGCGGTCTGACGAACTGCCAAATATCGTTGCGAAGAGTTCGGGAGGAAAGACTACGAAAGCACGCCGAATCCAGTGCATGATGCTGGTTGCCTTTTGGACGGATCCACTATGCGTAGCTCATAATTTCTTCAAGTCTATTTGCCTCACGTTTACACACATTCCGCTCTCGCGTGTATTCCTGCAGGTGTTCAGAACTCTTAGTTGATAACGTCTCCACGCCTTATTTCTCCTTAAACGCTATATGTAGTTCCCGGTTAGTCCAAGACAGACGGTCGCATGTTTTCTTTCGTCTCAGTGGACAGTTCAGATCAATGATTCTTTCAACCAGTGAGCTGAATGTACTCTAGTAGTCGTTAACTGTTCCCCGCAATGTGCTTGTCTGCGGTGTTGCCGAGACTTGCGTCCGCGTGCTGGAAGTCTCCCTTCCAGGTATTGGTTTCCAGTTGTTCGAGTAAATCAGGTTGGGAGAATATGAAGTACTAGAAGAGTATCACAATATGATCACCAGCACCTCTTGGCGGGAGATCTTGTATATCCAGCACACTCGTCATCTCGAGCGAGCACCAGGTCAAGGCAATTTGAACGTTGCCCTTCTCTAACACGTGTTCCAAGAGTTACATTCTGCAAAATTAGTTTCTCAGTCGTCAATTTAAGCAAATGTCTCCGAATTTGTCCGATGGACCCGAAACCGTCCAAGCTTGTCAGTCGATATTAGGGGCGTTAAAGTCCCCAACAATAAGGACGTCCCTGTTCAGTTCCGTTAAGATAAGGCTATTGCGTTCAGAAATCTGGTTTGGGAGACTGTAAATAACTTCAAAAGCCCGCGGCCGGGCGTATTTAGTGGAGATAGTTAAAGATAAAAACTCCACATCCGCTGTTGTTGTGGGATGTTGCACAGGAACCGCGATTAGGTCGTGATTAACATAGACAGCGACCCCTCCACGGTTTTTCCTGTCTCTTCTAAACTGTTAATAACTCCCTGATGGATGCCTCATGATGTCCAATAGCTTCAGAAAGCCATGTTTCTGTCAAGGCAATGATATCTAGCTGTGCTCGTCAAACAAAGTTCTGAGTTTATTCACCTTGTTAAACAGGCTCTGTGCATTCGAGTACATCATCTTTAGTGTCCGTCTTCTCGGAGGGAACCAGCCCTGATTACAAAGGGCGTTTGCCAGAGAAACGATCGCTTGATCTGTACTATCTCCCTTCCCTTATCTTCAACCCTTTCTCCCCTCTTCTGTCCTCCTTTTCAGTTCTGTCCAGAGCTCCCTCATTTTGTGCCTTTCTGTCGGTTCGTAAACCAGCTGAAAAAACACCTTATGCGAACGACGAAGAGCCGTCCTCGCTTCTAGGAGATGTGGAGCCTTGGCTTCATTTTCAAGAGTGATTTCGAGAGGCTTTGGTGATGACAGTCCACGCGACGCATCTGCGTTTCTTAGACAGAAAGCTTTGCGCACGGTAACACATTCTCCGTCTTGAAGGACGGCATTTGAATGTGCTCGAAAGAGGTTGAGATTGTGTTCGATCCTCTCTTTTGCAATCGAAGAAGTGGACTCGTGAGCTCCATTTATGACGATATTTTGTTTTCGGTCAAGTTGCCTGTTTGGTGACTCAGGCACATGCTTTATGACGATGCCTTTGCTGCGATCAAGTAGAGGGCCCTGGCGTTTATTTTTATACAGGAGGCTAATATTGCGCCAACTTCCGTTGTCACCATCGTTTGATTCAGAGACAGCTGTCATGGCATAGCTACCACAGGGTTCTTCACCCAACGAGGCTTCTTGGTCATGCGATGCACCCATCGGAACTGTGGTATTTGCTTGCATTGTGTGTAGACTCTGCTCTCTCATACTGGCACTCGGACCTACTTTGTCTTTTCAGGATGCCCTGGGACGCTTCCGCGTTTTCTGAGATTTTTTCAGTCGTCCTTTTCTCACACAAGAGGTCGGTTCTCCGTTAGGATTAGTTCCTTAGACGAGCTGTCCCCTTCCTGAGCGGCTGACACAGTCAATGAGGCCGTGATTAAATATGTTCTTTTTATTTTCTGAAGTTCTGCTGTCGCTGGCTTTCCCTTTTAGGGTGAATGGCGAGGAAGTCTCATCAACTTCTCCATCCCCATGTTTAGGTTTCTTATCTCATTCTCCATCTATAAGACTTTCTAGAGAAGTGTGTAACATGCCGCACGGGTTTCGTCTTCGTAGTTGATATCCATTAAACTTACTAAACTGTCTGCATGTACGTTCGCTAGTTCTAGCTAAGGGTGAACTGATATCTCCGGTACTTTAAAGTTTACCACACTGATCACCATTTACCCCTCTTGATATTTCTTGCCTCTTTAGTATTGTGTTCTACATGACGTGCATGTTCCTTCTAGGAATTCGTCGTTGAGATTACAGATAAGCACAAACCTCCATTCCTGGCATACCTTGTGCGCAAAGTAGGTCACGAAAGGGTACTTTGCTTTACAAATTCCCGCGAATCAACCAAACGTCTGGCTCTCCTAATGTCTCACTTTAATGGCCTGCAAGCACGGGCTCTCTACGCCGGCCTTCCGCTCGCTAAGAGATCGCGCATTCTGAAGGAATTCGAGAGTGGTGGCGTGCAGGTACATTTCAGAACATTCGTCTACTTCCATATTACTGATAACCTATTTATGGTACTATTATTTTGCCTAGTTGGCTGTAAGCTGCCGTCTTCGATTCTCTTGACAGCTTCTCATATGTACAGATGCAGTGTCACGGGGCATCGACATTGAAAACGTCTCCTGTGTTGTCTCCTATGAGTTGCCGCCTTCTACCAAGACGTATGTTCATCGTATCGGACGCACAGCGCGCGCAGGAAAGACAGGCGTTTCCTACACCCTACTCCTGCACAACCAGGTGTGGTTTACACACGCACACAGAACACCTGTGTTTTCCCTCTTTTTTACTTCACCGCCCCAGAACTGTTTCGTGTTACCCACTGTTCTTTTGTTAACCTTAGATACGACACTTCAAAATGGGCTTACGCGCTGTCGGTATGGGTAAAGTGAAGCACTTCCCGTTTCATGCCAGTAAACTCCGAACCTTCGAGCAGGACTACCAGAAGGCCCTCTCTGAATTGCAAAAGTCATTCCAAGTAAGTTATGCCCTTCCTTCATCTTATTCACTTTTAGCATCGTCTGATCTCAGTTTGTGCTAGAGTATGAAACAGAGACCCCTGGGCCCCCAAAGTGGGTGACGCCGTTGCATCGGACCTAGACGGGAGGCAACAGTGTTAGCTGTCCCTTTACATGTTCGTTTTATCCAAGTTTGGGGAACTGGAATCATCGACACTTTAATTACGCCGATATTTGAAGGAGGCTCCAGGTTACTCTGACGCACACCTTAGAACTGCGACCATACTGTTAATGTTGTCCTCGCTAACCGCTGTTTAGGGCGAACTTTATAAAACGGTCGGAATCTAGGTAAAATCGGCCGTCGTGTCTTGCAAGTGCACCCGATTCTCGTACGATTTCGCCAAAACTTCTGAAATTGACGTGGGATTTGTCTGAAAGTCGAGGCTTCTGTTGAGACAGTCCTATAGGGACATGAGACATGTTTTGTGTACCCAGAAGACAGCGCTCGCCTAGAAGTATGTCATTTGTTACATGCTGTAAATTCTGAACTGGACTCCGATCGCCTCGCCATCGAATGTCTGCGCAGTTTGTTAGGGCCACGACCAGTCAAATACCACCTCTGCACTCACCTGCGGAAATTGTTAGGATGTGCACCACGCCGATCGGATTCCAGTTCTCTTGAACCTGTCCCTGGTTGACGACGACGTCGAACACATCTCTCGTCTTGCTGTTCCTTGTCTATTGATATGACATGCGGACCGACTCATTTTCGTTTGGGATGTGCCTTCGACCGACTGCAATGAAGACCGTCATCCTTGATGCGGTGTGGCTCGAACATGAGCCAGCTAAATCTGTCGTGATGAGTACAGTGAGTAACCGATCTCATGAAATGTCGGCTGTAATTCTGAAATGCGTTTTCGATTAGGAAGGACTACTTAGGCGCGGTTGTAATACCGATTATCGTATGGCACAGTCTTCTGATATGTCGGACTCGGCGGGATGTCAGCTTTTCAATCTCCGGTAGAAACCGTACTCGACAAAAATGACCACTTAAGTAGCATTCAATTTTTCCCATTGATTTTCGGTGGTCTAATAAATTCAAATGTATTTCATAAAAAAACGTGAAAAATACTTTTTTTACTCATTTGATAGAGAATCACGTCATCTTTATATTTTATGCTCGAAGAAGGAATACAAGTAGGTTTTAAAAAAGTTTTCTAATTGCCGAATAATTTGTGCCTGATCAGTCGTTGCATGAGCGCTTAGTGATTTCAGTCTACAAGGCGCATGCGTTCCGCGTAAAAAAATCACATATTCCTCTATGCCTTTAAAAACCTACCATATAGAGTCCATAAAATTTTGCAATGGATGCAGACTATGTTGTACATTTCATGAGGAGGTGTGGCGAACGGACGGGTACGATGCTATGTGAATGGGCATTGCGCGGTCTCAAAAAATCTCATAATTAGAAACTTTTTTAAAACCTACCTGTATTCCTTCTTCGAGCATAAGATATAAAGATAATGTGATTCTCTATCAAATGACTGAAAGAAGCATATTTTGTTCGTAGTTTCTATAAAATATGCTTTAATTTGCAAGACCATAAAAAATCAATGCGAAAAATGAATGCTACTTAAGTAGTCATTTTTTACAGAGTACGGTTTCTACAGAAGTTTGAAAAGCAGTGTATTCAAAAGCTGAAATCCTGCCGAGTATGAAATATTATAGGATTATGCCATAAAGTAATCAGTATTACAACCGCGCCTAAGTAGTCCTTCCTAATCGAAAATGCATTTCAGAATTTCAGCCAGCATTTCATGAGATCGGTCACTCACTGTGCTGTTAAACTTGCGAGTGGCAGGCCAATAGTTAAATATTTACGCAACCTCAGCCCTTAACCCTTATACCCGACCTGCCACTGGTACACAGTGGAAGGGTAAAGAGGCAGTATTATCGACTCTGTGCGATCATTCCTCGGTAAAGTGAACCTGACGCGCGTTGGTGCTGTTGCGATATGAAAGTTCACTAACTAACGAAGTAACTCGATCCTCCTTCCTACCAAGGGTCAGGCTGCGATGGATTTTTAGTAAAACTTTGACGGCACATGCCTACCTGAGATTCAATATGCTGGAGTATAGTCCATCCGTGCGTGGGCGGTACACCTTTGCGCCTGACAGTAGTGAGTATGGCGACTTAAGTATCGTGAGAAACTTCACCATGTCCGCGTGGACACGCTAACAGGCTAGACCTATTTCAGTTGCTTTGGGCGCCTACGGAAAATCAGCAAAACGTTGGTCATCTATGCGACTGTCCGCAGGGATTCCCATGTCACGGCAACAGACTGGTGGCTCAATGGTAGAGCGTTTGACTTATGGCCTCCTTACTAGCGAACTCCTCTCGACCTGGGATTAACGTATAGCTGGCAGTTGGCGACAATGAAGTCAGACGTGGCTACTCCATTCGCCCTCGTCTTTGTCAATAGCAGCTTCTGAAATGTCCCTTGTCTAGGCAACTTTATTTGGTGCGCATTTAGTTTAAAATCGAAATTTTCACGGAAAAATCCCTCACCCACCTTGGCGGAAACACAGATCGATGAGATTTAGTCCAGACTGGTGATCTCATCAAAAGCTTGCACGGCTGTTCAATCGACTGGGGAACGAAGCAGTTTGGCATGTGGGAGCACCATAGGGCTACTTATTTGAAGTTGCCACTGTCCACCTCCAATCAAACATTCTTCTCTCGAACGAATCGCATCAGTCATCCTTCAGTGAATTTCACTTATTAACGCGTCGTCGTAAGCGTTGCGAATTCTCGCCGTATGTTTCCTGACAAGCCCTCCCAACGTTTATGCTGATGCGTCCCCTTTGCCTTGTTTCCCTGTCTTACAGAAGGGCTTTAATGCGCATTCCTCTTCCGTTGTTGATGCACAAGCCGCCACCATAAGTCAAAACAATTCTTCGTCAGCACAAGACAACAGCGCAGCCGTCGGTATAAATGGCAAAAGGATGAGATCTGAACAAAACGCTGATGTGGACTACTCTTCCTAGCCAGGTGCACACCAACCAACGCGGTCCGACACTTCCGTTGTCCTGTATATTTCGCAAATCTTGTATGTACTACCGTCTGCCCTGTCAAATAAATTCCCCCGATCACGTTGTTTTTTCCTCGCTTGCGTTCAACTTCCGTTCGGTTAACCCGCGTTTTTTCCACTGGCTTTGATCTGTCTCGGTTCCGGTTTGCCAATTTAATTTTTCATGTTTGCCAGGGAACGGATAAATTACTTGGCCGCTTACATGGACTACCATTCCGCACTTCACCCTTTGTAGGTATGGCCTTTTTCATCAGAGATGTATTGAATGAGATGCTGTGTCGACGGTTCCATTTATAACCCAAAGGCTCTGACTCGGAATGAACCCTCGAGGTAGCAATGACTCAGGGCCAACTGGTTTCGGGTTTTCTTACGCCTTTTCAGCTGGGATTTTTTGACAGCACTAGCTCATAGGTCGAACATGCGGCCCCAAATAGACATCCACCTCCATTTTTAACTCGGATCTTAGACCGAATTGAATTATTGGCACCGGCTGCTGGCTACCCGGCGCGTCCACCGGTGGCGGATAGTGGGACGACCTTCAGTGAAGGTTAGCTGCGAAATAAGCAGACCCAGGTCTGACGAATAAGCAGTCGCGGACCAGCAGCGACATTGCTACCAGGGTGCGGTGGGCTGAAGTCTGGCACGCTGAAAGCCTTA